TGTAACGAAGTGTGGATTGATGGTATTCAATGATCCCTGTGATGAGACGGTGTCCATACAAGGCCAAGAAATACCGAGGGTAAGTGAATACAAGTACCTTGGAGTATGGGTAAATGAGAGTGATAGATACATGGAGGTACAGGAAAAAGCCTCGGCAGCAAAAGGAAAGAGGAATGCGGCAATAATGAAGCACAGAGCGTTGTGGGGATACAATAGGTATGAGGTGCTTCGAGGTCTGTGGAAGGGTGTAATGGTTCCAGGGCTTACTTTTGGGAACTCAGTGGTGTGCATGAGGGCAGAGGTGCAAGCGGGAATGGATGTAAATCAAAGGACTGTGGGACGCCTCGCGTTGGGTGCTCACGGGAAGACGACAAACGAGGCTGTAAAGGGCGATATGGGGTGGGCAGGTTTTGAGGCGAGGGAAGCGCAGAGCAAAATAAGGTTCGAAGAAAGGCTAAGAAATATGAAGGAGAGTAGATGGGCAGAGAAGGTGTTCCGTTATTTGTATAGGAAGAGCGTGGACACACAGTGGAGAAAAAGAACTAGAAGACTCACTAGTAAGTATACGGCTGGTATTGTAAGCCATATGTCAACAAAGAGCGTTAAGGGAAAAGTCAGGGAGGCGGAGAGGATTTACTGGATGGCAGCTATGGAGAAAAAACCGGCTTTGAGTAACTACCGAAAGGGCAAAAATGAAATAAGGAGGGAGGCATTTTACGATAATTCAAGGGGAAGCGCTTTACTGTTTGAAGCGAGATCGGGTTGCCTTAGAACGCGTAGTTATAAAGCAAGATTCAGTAAAGGAGAAGAACAATGCACATGCTGCGGGAAAGATAAGGAAACGGCGGAGCATGTTCTGATTGAATGTGGAGATATCCACCCAGGTGTACGTTTGGGCACGAGCCTACAGGAAGCCTTGGGTTTTAGGGACAACAATGGAAAGCTGAACACACCCGCGATTGAAATAAGTAAGAGACGGTTAGAGTATTGGTGGCAGAAAATTAGAGAGAAAGGACAAAAATAAATATTGGAAAAATAAAATATGGACAGTGTGCCGTAAATGGCAGAGAACTTAAGCTGAAAATTTACCTTTTTTTCCATTAAGATAGAATTTATCGAAGTAGAGGCATTAGGCCAACATAAAAAGAAAAAAAGTTTTTTTTTTTTTTTGTCGAGCCTGGTGGCATACTTGTCACCACCCCGTTATAAAGGGGACGCTCATAGCATCCATCCATCCATCCATCCATCCAGGGTGATGGCGCAGAGTTTTTTAAAGCACAGGGGTTTAGGGACAGGGAGGGCAAATAGACTTTAAGCGGGTAGAATTAACTTGAAGGAGGTCATCTTCAAGGAGGAGGTTATTAACTAGAAGGAGGTTAAAGTCAAGGGACGAGTGAAAAATTAAATCCTTCACTGCAAAGTACGAATCCTCAACCTCACTATTTAAAGGGGAAAAAAATAAATTTAGTTTTTGGTTCATTAAGTATTACGGCTTAGTGGCGCTAGCCATCGCCCAATCTAAAGGGTACAGCCATACCCACTTATTCATCCATTTATCTAACCATGATGATAATGGTGATCAACGCTCGTGAACACAACGCCACCTTTCGCTCAATAGTCGTGACTCCGAAATACGGCTTCTGCGCGAGACACGTGCGCCACGCGGCGGGCGCAAGCAACTTTACAAGGGGGCGTCGGCAATTTCACAGGAGTTGGGAAAACAAAAAACAAACTGATTTACTGGCACTTTGAACAGCTATTTACAACACAGTAGGTTAGAGTTCCGCGAACCACGAGCGTGGTGAATGAACCGTTAAGCTATGGTTGAGGCGTCGACTCCCTGCACTTTGCACTGTCGTTTTAAGCCCTGTCGGGCTCCTCCTTCTTGATTGAGACGCCAATCACACACGTGACACCACCCACCAAGGCATCAGCCAATAACACACGGTCACCGAAAGGTCATTGCACTTGCTGGCGCGCTGTTCCTCCGGTCAGTTTCCCTGAATAGAGAGGGAGTGGGTTGGTGGTAGTGGTTAGAAGAAGCCCGGCAGGGAGCACGGCGCAGCGCCTGGACATGGGGTCCTTCACAGATCAGATCAGGTTGGTGGATGAGTGATTACTGCCTCTTTCCCTGGAAGGGCAGCAAATGATTAGTGACTTAATCGCTTAGTCACGCCCTGCGAGGTCGTTCGCCTGCGCTGCCTCCCCAAAGAAGCCATCATGGAGGAAATGCCTGTATGGACGTTGCCGCACGTACGGACCGTAGAATTTGCCATTCTTATTCCGCTGGACGCTCGTTCCGAGAGAATATTGAAACTGGGGTTTCAGGTTTGTGGGAACACGCTCCGGCTATATATATCTATGCTTCTCATGGACGAAAGTCACAACATTTCCCTGTAAAACACGTGCTCGTTCTTGGTGATTTTTTTCGGGCTTGCATCAAGACCATGTCAGTTGTTCAAGCAAGTTCTGGCTAGGTAAATCGCTTCGCATCATGATATTAGAACAAACTTGCCTGTTCGTCTTCATAATTAACCGGCTTTCTTGGCTCTAGGGAAACGATGACGATAGTTATAGCGCGAGAACAAAACGACGACACAGAGACAAGGACACGAAAGACACGATGGCGCTCGTGTCTTTCGTGTCCTTCTTGTCTCTGTGCCGTCGTTTTGTTCTCGCGTTATAACTGTCATCATGCCATACCAACTAGTCCAAGCTGCCACACTTCTAAGTTACATCTATAGGGAAAGTTATGCCGACGAACAAAGCATGGGCAACGGTATCCATAGATTCGCTGATGACTCTGCTTCATTTTAATCTCTTACTGAAGCGTGAATAAAATCGTTTGTTGCTCTCAAGTGCAATTGATATTTGCAAAAAAAAAAAAACAGTGCTTCATACGTTTTACCACTAATAATAAAAAAGTAAATTTTTTGCTTTTGTGACGTAAATGTTTTGTCGTTCACGATTTTTTTCTTTGTGCTGTGTCGTCCTCTAGATGTTGGCACCCTAATCGTTAACATCAAAATATGCTATACATTGCCAATCAGACCGGCTTTTTAAGTTGAATTTCTCGGAGAACGATGTAAGGCCAACATAAATGGCAGAAAGAGTAGATCGACGGTCTGAAATAGTGCAGTTGTCGGCTTCCTTTTACAGCTAGCACCATGGCGAATCTCAAAAGGAGCTTCATCTTTTTTTTTTTTTTTGAATTGTTGAATGGGGCATTCAAATTACTGTAATCCTTACATTGCTTTTAGCCCACATAAATAAATCGTGTGGTGTCTCAATCTGACCACCATATGACCTCTGTAGGTTTTATTTTTGCTTCCAAACGTTTTATTGTGCTGCCGACACCATATCGCATGCACTTAATTTTGCCGTGTGAAGTGGCAAAGAAGTTCCACTCTGCCGACAAGTTGTGGTCCTGCTCGTAGTAGCAAAGGTTCAAAAAGTTCTCTCATATATGGCAAATGTTTTTAAAAAGTTCTCAAGGTCATATACCGCACACTCTAAACGCGAATATGAAATCAAACAGAAATTTCGCAAATTCTGCATGCATACCCTATATACTCGTATGGGATGCCTTTTCCAGCATGATCCAAGCATAAAAAAAATTACACACACACACAGCGAATCAGGATTCATAAAAGCAATCTTCCTGAATCGCGGTACCCCCACAAATTACCAGTTCATTCTAGCATCAATTTCTCACCGCATTCCGAAGATGGAGGCTCAGGGAAGCTTGTACTTTGCATTTCGTCGTCCATTCGGCACCAAGTCCCGTCGGCTACTACAACATATCAGTTTTTGTGAGCTCTAAGCCTCGAACTCTGTTTAAAATAATATTAGTAGCTCGACGATTACCTTACCTGCTGTCCCCTGTCACTCGCTGCAGAAACTTCGCTGCACTGCCAAGTGCGAAAACAGACGTGTAAGCAGAACAAAAGAATTCCCCAAAACAAAGTTGAAAGATGTAGTTCTTTTTTTCCTCTCACAACACAAAAGCGAATTAAAAGTGGCTCGAAATTGTCCAATTGTGTTCATATACTTGCTGCCTTTTGCTTTGCAGCAGACGACGAGAAAAGTAGCAGACGACAAGCAGACTGTCAGCAGCGCATGCGTAAGTACACACATTGCCAATGCGCACATCAAATGCTAGTTGTGCACACCAAAAAAACGTTTTATTCCTCGGCTGGTTTTCGCCGCCACCGTCATGCACTGTATGTGTATACGTATCTATATATAGAAAAACTAAAAACAATAATAAACAAGCCGCCCGCGCTCGGCACCCAGCTCGTCGCGATGCGCCAGCTCATGGTTATCTCCCAATCGGGCCAGGTACTTGTGCGCGCGCGCTTATCCTTCCGTGTGGAGAGTCGCGTGCCTTGGCCTTTCACCGGAACGATTGCGTTAGTTGCCTCGGCCACGAAGGTCACTTCGCTCGCTGGACAGGCCCCGTTTGTAAAAAGAAAGAGCGCGCTTTTCGAACGCAGCGAAGTAACAACTGGGACACTCGCTAGTTCGCACACATACCTGTACCTGTGATAACGTTTCGGTCGTCGTTTTTTTTTTGTTTGAACAGCGCGCTAAGCGTCGAGCTGTAAATGTTGTTAGCTCTCGTCCTCTAGTGTGTCGTTTTCATGCGTATTTTGTGCAGCACGCTGCACGTTTCGATCTGCTAGGCGTTCTCAGCGTTACATTCCAAGTTGTTGCTATCGCATTCATTGCTTCGCCCTTGCAGCGAAACTGTGACGTTTTCACTTCGTTTTAAACAAAATTTACAGGAATAAAATTTTCCACATCAAAATAACTGGCTTTGGATCGCATTATGAACTGCCTCGTGTATCTTTAGCATAACGACTTTGACGATTATTGTACCCGTCGCCGTACCTACCATCAAACCTTGACCCTTGTCAACTGGTGGCAGCGGTGAGGTGCCATTGACTTTAAACCCTTTACAATGCGAAAAGCTACTTATATGAGCCGTAAGAAACAGCTGGAAAAAAAGTAATGTTTATTTCACGAATGTGCTTTTGATATGAGAATGAGTAGAAAAATATAATATTTACAGATATCTTTCTAGACACATCTCTATTGGGCAGGAAATGTATAAAAGACTTTATACTGTACATACAATCATCTCTTTGTACTACAAGTGACAACTGCATGATAGATAAACAAAAGTTATATAACAGTGCACCTGATCAATTGCATAGATCTCTTACTTAACAAGAACATATTAAAAGTAGACTCGATAACAGCCTACCTAATAACATGAAAGTGCTTTGGAAGAAAAGTAACATGGTCGTGGAATTAAAGGTTTTCTAAAGTCCATGGCACTAGATTTGCACTACCTATGACACAAAAATATTGCAGCCAATGGATGCCTCCAGTTGTGTGTGTATGCATGTAGCTCAATAGCGTCGCAAAATGGTATGTACGGAGATGATAGACAGGCCGCACTAATGGACAGTATAGACGCAATGACGCCCAAGAATGTGAAATTGGTTCAATGGCAGCCTTAATCATCGAGACTGCCCATTGCTGCAGTGCTCTGCAGCACGCCTTGAAGACGGTTTTCCAGAGGTGGACGAGGAATGTGCACCGGCTGGGCCTGTCACAGCTTCTCCACCCCTAAAAGGCAGAAAAAAAAGAAATGTGTCGACAGGTAAGTGCGAAACGCAGACCATGATAGAACTGCAACTGGTTTGGGCAATCTGCGATAACCGGGGATGACAAGCGTCAATCACGAAATATTACCTGCGTTACGTGCCAAGAAGCGCGAGGCAGTGGTGTTCACAATGAAGGCAGGAGCAATACAATGGTCACTAGAATGTGGTGCACGGCTCTGTGCCAGACACATGGCCACACGGTACTATCAAACCGTTCAACATTCAAAACTCAACTTCTATTTCTGCTTCTATAAGAATGGAGAAAGGCCCAAACAGTAAGTGGAATTGTCCACGTCACAGAAATTTCAAGCCCCCTTATATAGTGCATGGAGCGAGTGGCCAAATTACAAGTATGCAACATGTACCACACGTAGTTTTTAACACTAAATATGAAATACAAGGCACCTGCATGGACTAATTGTATAATAGTATTTTAAGTATTGATAAAAAATTAGAAAGCAGGCATACAACTTTGAAACTGAACAAAACAACGCACAGAATGCAGGTAGTACATCTCGTAGCATAGCATAATAATACATGTCCTAATTAGCCATGTTTATAATTCCACAAACTAAGTAAAAAATAAGCTTGCTATTTCAGTCCAAGCAATATCTCAATTCTTGCTACTCCTGATTAGTGCAAAAAAACACTCAGGAACACAGGGCGTGATTTGTGCGATTTCACAATGCATTCGTTCCAACTAGCTTGACTCTCTATATTTTGGTTCTCAATTTCCCAATTTTTGCTCGTTATACAGAAGTTTAGTATTTTTAGAAACTGAATCAGCACACTTAGCACAGAAAAAAACAATAGTCTTTGAAGAAAATCTGGTAGAAGTGCACTTGTGAAGATGCAGTTTAGTGAAATGTTTACAGAAGGCTAGTGGAGGTCTTCAAGGCCAAGAAACCTTCAGAAGCTTCCTGCTGTATTTGTTCAGCAGGATATGATTCAATGGTTAAAGCTTTTTGAGAGTGGTCAGTATTAAATACCTATCATTTAATTAAAGACTTTAACAGACAAAATTAATGTCCTGCACCACTCATCTGCAGGAAATACCCTGAAGCATTCACCAGGGCTAAGAAAGGAAAAGAAAAGAAGACAGCCACCCGTTTGTAGCACGAAGTCACAAGGAAGGCTTTTCTTTGCCAGAAAAAACCGTACGATTTTCTTGTGGCTTCAGTGCTACAAATGGGTGGTTGTCTTCTTTTCCTTTCTTAATCCTTCCGTCACCTTGTGGGTCTCCGCAGAACTCATTTGCAATACTTGTGCTCATGTGGTTCGAGTTGTCGATGAATTCGCCCTTGCGCTGTCAATTGCTAGCTTCCTGGTTATCTCAATTGGTAGGGTGACCGCCCCGGAAAGGCGCTGGTCCCGGGTTCGCACACCGGACCAGAATGCTCTTTTCGGCAAATAAAAGGCTTTTCTTTCCAAAAAATCCACACGGACTTCCTCATGACTTCGTGCTACAAACAGGTGGTTGTCTTCTTTCCCTTTTTTAACTCTTGAGCCACCCTGGGGGTTCTCTCAGAAGTCTTTTGCGATTATTCACCAGGGCTATGGGCCAAGTTTATAAAAGACCAATAAATACAAGTTCACCACACTAACTTTCATTAGAACGAGAATCATGCAGAGTAACGTGCAACAGAATCACAAAACATAACAAAGCCAACAAAACAATGCAGTTTACGTACATGTTGCATGCAGAATGGAAGGTCTTATGACAATTCACGATTTCACATAGCAGCAGGGTGTCGTATGTGCCATACAGTAAGCACAGGTGTTTGGATGCACAAGCACAAAACATACGTAAAGCTTATACATCGAACTTTTGAAGTATCCAGCAACACAAGCAGAAAGAAAAATTTCAAACAGACACAGAAAACAAAACAGCACAAACTTCAATTCAGGCACAATGCATACTTACTGTGCGTCAGCTACGCTTCTTCATGTGAGTGCTACATAAAAAGATGTGAAGAAAGTTTGTGAGGAAAATTCTTAATTGGACATAAACTCCCTGACCGGCTAGTCATGAAACCTGTCGGGATTACGAACATAGGGCGAGCAGTGACTCTGAGATTTTACTCAATCATGGCGTCTAACTCCGGCACAGTAGAAGCTTGTTAACTTGGATTTCACGGCCCCAGAAAAACTGTCCAAATTAACCAAATGCTGAGTCATCGAAATGTATCAAGGAAAGAATAAACAAATGTCTATTACATCAATGAACTTTCATTTTCTTGAGGGTTGTGTCAATCGAGCGATTGTTTTGCATAAAGCAGTGCAAGAACTGCCCGCGATTCTCGTCATTGGGACTTTGTGCACAATGTGAGTGCGCCTCAAGACCCTGGTGTCTTAATTCTAAACGTGCTCTGAACCAATACAATGTTATGTAGCAACAATGCACTTTTAGGTAAGTACTGCGGCCTTACAAACGCTCATTGTCGTTTCGGCTGTCCGAAAATGCCAGTTGTGTCCCTCTGTGTCGTACATAAGTGGCGCTTCACACTCAGCACGCTCCCATGAACATCATAACTGAGTTGTGGCTAAATAGGACCTGCATCCATGAGAGCTTGATACCTTTAACGATTCAACGCTGGTCGAGACCACAGAACACGCCCGAATTATGTGATTCACCTTAATTACTTGATTTCCTGAATTAAATAGTCTCAAATTGAAAAGCTTTTACTGCATTTATAAATATGCTTTATAACTTGATTATACGGCTTTCCTTGGTCAATCTGGTAAATGATAATATTCGACCCAAACGCAACAAGCATGTTCACTGCCACGGGTGAATTCACTTGTCACATGAATATCGGCACGTTCAACAAGGACGTTTAATATTTACAACTCATTACAAGAAGATGAAACGCTGTAACCAGGCACAGCACACAGCGTGATGCGTGAGGTGCTGGTCTGAATGATAAAACTTGAAAGTGTTCAACATTCGTTGACACCAGTGGGAATGTTACCAAAATTATCAAGTAAAGTATAAACTCGCTTAAGTTTGACAGTGAAAAACTCGCTTAAGTTTGACAGTCAACATAAGAAACAGCATGCATCAGATGAGTACAACTGAAATCATGCATTTTCTCCAATATTAAGCTGCTTTTCTACAATATTTGCTTAACTGCATCGACAGGGCTCTAATCTATAAGCAGTTGCAATCGAAAGTTCTGATAATTTTGTACCAAGCAGGTTATAATGATGAACATACAACCTCTAAATTTAATTCAGCACATGCTCACTCAACAGTAATGTGCACATTTCATCCTCATCGCTGCCTTCGTGAGAAAGAAGAAAATCGATACAGCGAGTCTTACGAGATAACAGGAATGTTACTAGAGTATTAATCATGGCGATAGGTGCGATTCTGCTCTGTTAGCCAGCAGGGCTAGCTTATAGTAGATGCGCAGTTACATTATGAATTGAAAACGGTTATGCACCTCATTCGTGATCCCAATATCACCATCAGCATATTGAAGTCAACAGCAGAACAATTACACTGCCGCAAGATTTAGGGATGACTTGCGTAGTGGGACTGCACTTGTGAGGCCAATCTTCATATTGGCAAAAAAATATTTTTTTATGCTTGAAAGGCCTTTGTAAATTGACTGCGACAACCTTACTGACTCTTGGAGCTCATTATATAACAGAAAGTTCTTTTTTTTAGTGTCGTTGTAATAGAAAGACCCAAAAAAATTTCTGTATCTCGCTGGCAACTAATATCAGATAAACAATAAAATGTTCCCTTCTCATAAGAACAAATACAAAAAAGCGTTTGCCACCCTTCATGTTTGTAAAACCATACATGAAATTGAAGTAACTAGTTCCCTGTCGTTCTTTGGATGAAACGTTAATAATAAGCCAGAACCCTCAATTATTGCTTTGAAATATGCATTTTGGGCACATTTATCACAATTCATCCACTCTTAATTAGAACGTTATGTTTCGCAAAAAATGCTGTTTGCAACATTGCTTTGTACATATTTTGTTGAATATTGAATTGGACCAACCACAAGCCACCTTGGGCTATTGGTAAGATAATCCAAGTACATTCAATTTTCTGTTCACGAAAATAAAGTTGCATTGATTGACTGATTGATTGATAGAACGATTGGTTGACTGACTGACCGACTGGCTGATGTTTTAGCAGTGCTACGCTTTGTAACAGCATGGTTTCAATAGATGCATGCATAAAAAAAAAAGAAAATGTTTGCATTAGCAGTACACGTGTGGTCCTGCACCCCAGCGAACATCGGTTCTTGGCTTTTCTTTAAAAAACTGAACTGTCCGTTTTGAATAAACTTAGTTGGGAGCAATGTTTTTTTCCCGTAGCACTATCACCATTTCACGTCTTTTTCAGTTCCACGAAGGGAGGAACAAAAATACAGCATGTGGCGTTACTAATGCACACAATTAAGTTTATGGGTGGAGGCAGTGCTACGTGCATTGGTGAAAAACAGAAGGCCGAGAGAGCTCCACATTGGAGCTACGTGGTTCGAAGCAAAACAGCACCGAAACCATGGCACCCTCAAAAACACGAAGCGAAGAAACAGTCCATCCCACAGCAATTCCAGAGCAGAGCTCGAGTAAACAGGGGAGAACCTCAGATCAGAACAGAAGCAAGGAGAGGTTGGTGCTCAAGAAGCGTGCAGTGTTCCATTATTAACGTCTGGAGTGTCTCGCTAAAGACGAATGTGACATTGTTGACAAAACTGCCTGTTTATAATATGATCAATCAGAGTGGTTTAGAAGGCTCACAATAGACCGTCCGAGGGTGTCATAAGCGTGAAATAAATAGTGACTGACGCCATGACCTGCCCAGAAGCTCCGAGCAATTATGATCTCAAGACGGCTCTCCCAATGTGCATCATTACCAAGTGCTAGATGTCCTAATCAGTGCCAGGCATGCTGTCATGGTGGTTTCTAAGTTATATATTTTCTTGGAGAAATTAGCGCTGCTGCAGTACCCTCATTGCTCTGGACGAGGGCTAAGGTTCTTATCTACGAATCTGAAAACGTACCTCCTCACTGATGGTTTTCCATGTTGCAATCGCTGCGGCGTAGCATTTCGAAGTGTACGCACGAGATCTGTCAATCAAAGATGGCTGGCACTGAGATGAGATCTCCACTAAAGGTTTTATATACCTACGTGATCAAATTAATTTTTAGTTGATAAATAATAAAGGGTACAAGTACCATGACACCTTTATGAATGAACAATATCACGGAGTGCCCTTATTGGTCCTTTCTTACTACCACTGACTGTTTTTTAAAGCAATTTATTATTACTACTTAGTATAGTTAGCACAAAACCTTGCTTTGCTCATGCCTGCCCCATTTTTGCAAACCAACCAAGCAGAACATTTTAGGAAAGGAAGACTTAATAGACGCTCCATTATTTTTGCCTTAAGACAGATCCAAACTTACAGAGGCCAGTACAAATCTTGACTTAGCTTGGCTTTGATTTGTCAGATAATTGATTGATTGATATGTGGGGTCTAATGTCCCAAAACGGCCATATGATTATTAGAGACGCCGTAGGGGAGGGCTCTGGAAATTTCGACCACCTGGGGTTCCTTAATGCGCACCCAAATCTGAGCATAAGAACTAGATTAGTTTGAAAAATGATAAAAATTGATGGAGAAAATTTGGAGTGCTCCCTTTAAGAGACTGTGCCAAAGTTACAGAAAACTGGAGCGCCTACACCAAATTACATGCCCTCAAATAATGAAAAGACTACAGCAAATATTAAATAGAAAAACATTTCCACTGTGTCATGTCGAGAATGAATGCTTTCAGTTAAACCTGGAAAAATGGTTGTACCCATGAACTGCCAGCTCTGTAGAAGCATATCCGACAATAACCTGCCAAATCATGTCCTTGCAAAGTTTCTAAAATCTTTTCTTTTTTTATTTATAGAAACAGTTAGGTCACAACATGAGTGACAGAGAACCAATCATCCACATCATAGTTTAAGCAAAGCACTTCCCATGAGAAGAGATATAGGTGATTAAAGATCACCCTCATGCCATGCCACGATTTTTCTCTCCAACTTGTTTGCCACGTGGAATTTACGGAATATTGTGGATGCCACATTTCACATTTTTCCGAATGACCTCTACGCGCCCCAAAACTGGCCACTTCGATAATTATGATAATTCAAGGGGAAGAGTCAGCCGATTGGACTGCTACGAACTCTAACACAACAAAGTACAACACTTCCTCCCTTGAACCATATATTAGCAAACTGTAGTTGATTGTTTTTTGCATAACTCTCTGACAGATAACTGTGAAGCTTGATTTTTTATTGATTCTTAGATACTCTTTTATAGCTTATTAACAGTTATTCCATGACTTATCTCGGCAAATGTTAAGTTTCCAATCATAGCCTTCAGATGCATTGAATGGCTCCATTGGCTCCGAAGACGCACCATATATAAAATGTTGTCGATACATCTGGACAAATCTTCTCTATAGCAACTAGGATACACATTCCAGTCACACTTAAATTGAATCAATATTTACGTACAGGGCTCGTCAGCACTACTACTGTTGTCGGAGACGATGTGTCCCTTGCGGCACCGGGAATCGACGAATGTCTGCCACTCTATGATCCAGAAACAAAGCGTGCCCAGTGTTGCCGACACCACCAGGATTAGCAGCTGGTACGGCAGAAGCAGGTAGTTGGAATAAAAGAAGGCGATAGCAGCGGCGATCGCCTGTCGACAGAAAAAAAAATGCAAAGAGAATGAGATAGTGCACAAAACTATCGCGGATCGTGTGGCAGTAGACCTGTAGCTGTTTCTTACGAAACACTGCCAAACAATTCTCAAAGAAGCCCGTCTACACTTTTTTGAGTAATCAGTGAATAACTAATGAAAGAGTTTATTGCCTCCCAAATTGACTGCCGCACAAAATGTTAGAATTCGTCAAGTACGAGCGCAGTTACCGGATTTGTTGCAGGCTTTAAAGGGACACTAGAGAGTAAAAAAATTTATCGCGTATTAATAAGGTACAATTTCACAATCCCAAAAACACCACTCCTACCACGACGCGACACTTGGTAACCGAGAAAACGTGAAAAAAAAAATGTGGGCGGATACGCCATCGTGAGACGCGAGATGCCCACACTAAACAAAACAAGGTAGCAAATTTTGAAGGTGCCTACTGGGTCCTGCATAGCTTCTACTCGATGGAAATGAAGTACATTGTCATCTGTTGGTGCCATAGATCTAGCATACGAATTTTGGAGAATTTCCTCAAGCCGATGTCGCGAGAATACGAAAAACACATTTTGTAAGGTGTTACACACATGGAGATTTCGGCGCGAAGTTCTAAAATGAAACTTTAACCTTGATTTTTTCCGCTAATAGTGAACTTAAGACAATAAAGCTTATGGCATTAGATTTTCAGAGTGCAGTTTATAAGTCTAAACCAAGTCACAGTTTCTCGTTAGCGTCCCTTTAAGCACTTTCTGTCTTCCTTCGTACCAGCAAGCGCACTGAAGACTACGCAACGAGGAGGGAATGACAATAGGTCAAGAAGCTACGCTTCATCAATTCGTGTCATGACCCTGAGCACTTTTTTTCTCTCCAAACCTGCAACTTACTCGCAGTGTGATCCCGCATGCATGGACACGTGGCGACATCCTGTGGTGGCCACGGTAACTACACTGCTCACGATGCTCAAATCAGCCGATGGCCGTAGACTTTGGGGTTTACGGTGCGTTCATTTGGTTTAATAACATCACTCGTTAGGAGAATAGGGGACCATTTCTAGCAGACTTTGAGAATCAATTGTCAAGTCTGGGTCGCGTGATGCACTATATGTTTGGCTTGTGCGTTCTCATGAACCTCAGCTGCAGCATGTCGTGACACAACTGAAAAAGTGTTGCAGGGCTCTTTTAATAGCTTGATAACAAACACTGAACAATGACATGCTTTTTTAAAATTTTTATTGTATTAGTAACCGCGCTGAAACATTGAAAGATGATGTAATCAGCGTGCTGTAATGTGGGTCTTTTTGGAGGTCTTTTATGCTTAGTTCAAGAAACCACCACAATGTGCTTACGAGAAGCACCACTGGCATAAGGGAGAAGAGCAGCGCAAATGAGACATAGATACAAGAAAAAAGAAACGGCGACGTAATAATTTGTTTTGCATGTGCTCCTTTTCGTTTTTTTTTTCTCATAAAGTCCCCTTGCTATGGGGCGTATTCAAATAAATTCAACTTAACATTGCCAACAGAATGCAACTCATAGTACTAATCTGAAAATGCAAAAAGCTAAGTTTCTTAAAATTTAATAAATTGAAAGCAGCAAATATTAATTATGTAGTTATACAAGGGCAGGTGGAGTTACATTGTAAGTAGTATTCAGTTGACAATTGAAAAAAAAAGTTAGTTGTTTAAGATTCTTGATTGTATTCACGGTTCTGCACCAGAGAAACATTTTAAACAAAAAACTGAGAAGAAACGCAAGGCGTTTGTGCATTCAGACTCTTCTACTATACGTCAGAAGTGCCAAGTTTATTGAACATCATAAATAGAATTGATTTTTGTTTGTTAGATCTTATATGATCAACAGTATAAGCTTCCTAAATACAAAAAGATGCATACCATTGAGGAAGAAAATTAAGAATGGAACAGAAAGTTCTTTGAATTTTCAGATTATACCATGAGTTGCATTGTGCTGGGATTATTGAGTTGAATTTAGTTATGGTGACAAGGATCAAGTACATTAAACTTTTCATCTTGTAACCTCTGTCACTTATATTCATCTATATTGAACCTGAATGTGTGCACAGATTCCTTAAAATTCCTCATCCTTTTGTACAAAACTATAGAACTACTTCGCTAACCATGAACACAGCCAGCCTTTTTTTTTTCTGAGGCTTTGTTACTTCAAAGGCATCAGTTCAAGAAACGCATAAGCTATAGCAATCAATCAGCAAAAAGTTACTTTTATTTCCCTACTGTGTTATTATTGTTTAATCTAAGTTCAAGAAACACGTAATTAAGCTATATAAATATATCATCAGAAAGTTCCTTTTGTTTCCCTATTTTGTTAATATTGTTCCATCTTGAATGTAAACCAAGCAATCAATGTCTCCTCTGCACAGAAATTTCCTTGTCTGTTTCTTGGTGCAGTTGTATGGGAAAGTGTGACTTTCGAACTGGTACATTGAGAATACATCAGTGTTCACCTGAATGAACTTGAAGATGGCGAATGCCGGTGCACTGTTGTCCGCGTAGACGAATCCAAGAATAGAATAGATCTGAAAGTATTTTCAGACAGAACTTTCTGAATCAGAATTATATGAACCGATCAAAAAAAAAAGTTTATCAGTGCATATCTGAACAAATTTTTTCTCAACAACAGAATGTACCAAGTGCCATCTACAACACGCTGGGCAAGCCAATGCACTGTACAGTCACGATCGATATGACTTGCAACACGAGACCACATGGTGTGACGTCCTCGACAATAGCGCATGGCTATGAGTTGCCCTCATCTTCATCACTAAAAACCGTTGAGCATGATCTCCAATAAGAAAGTATCCTTAGTTAAAGAAATGGTTATGTTGAAGCCATCCTTGAATTTGTGAGGCCCCGTGCCCTCGTGTGGAAAGTCATAATGAGTGGAATTGTTCATTCAGTCAATTTTATTTGTAAATTCAGTGATTCACTCGGTAATATGACTGTGAAGTGATACAAACAAAATACAACCTGAGGCTGATTTTTAATGTCTAATCAAGAATTCTCAAAAATTCTCACACTTTTACATTTGTAGATTATCAACAAGATGTGAAATTGTGAGGCAATTCAAGCCATAGTCACAGGGGGAGATTATTCATTTTACTCCCCATATAAAACGAATTGAACCAAAATAACGTTATTACCAAGTTGCCTTAACACTCACCTGGGTATTGTAACAGCTGTCACCAAATCCAAGCAAGAAGCTACCCACAAAGGCAAGAGTAAGACTGAAAAGAAAAAAAAATGTTATAATACAGGCTGCTACAATGGTCCACAAAAAATTCTCAGCTTAGCATTAGCAATTCTTGTTGCGACAAGCAGTGACCTCGCTGTTAAAAACTTTGCTCGTTTAAATGCAAACATCATGACGTTGTTTGGCAGCTAATAAAGAAAACATCAATAAAATAAGAGCTAAGAGTCAACACCTAATGTGCACTGTATTTATGATGAAGGGCTATATTGAGCACACATGTATCCCTCCAGTGTCATGCGCAGACTCTAATTGGATTTTATAAAAGTAAAAAAGAACTTTATTCAGAGAGTAAAACCCTCCCTGAATATGATGTCTTATGCGAAACGCGAGGTCACAGCATTGGTTGCCCCCAAATCAGAAAGATTGATTGGTGGGCTTCTTAGTACAAAACACTCAATTTTGCTCTAATCTAAAAATACTCCAGGCATAATTAGACCCAAGCAAGAGAGGCAAAATGCAGTGCGAGTCACAGTACATTCAAACACAATTAAAATATGTGACATCCCGTTCTAAAAAGGGGTATTTAGTTTAATGGTTTATTCAGTTTCGCCTGCACTATTCAAATTATTATTATTATTATTGATTACATTAGAGTTGCCAGCATAAGTGCATTGAGTCTGAAAATTTCGGTAACCAGTTTGATACTGTCACTTTCTTCTTCCGTGCAGTGAGTGTACACTATGGTACACAATAAGATTATGGAAGATGAGGCAAATTGATTACATGTGTGCCATATATTGCCCACACCCACCAAACCGTCAGTAGCAGGCATCAGCGTAAATGTTCTTACAGCATCATCGTGCACAAACGGTTAATGACAAATGCTCCAACGCAGTGGGATTTCACCAATTTCTGTTCTTCTCATGCGTGTTCTGGTTGCCCTATACCAACCATACAGAAAACTTCTGCGGCAATTTTAAAAGGCACGAGGATGACAGCGTAGTAAATACACTCAAACCTCAATATAATGAACAAGTATATAATGAAATATCGGTTATAATGGAGTAAATAAAAATAGTATTGCTATAAGTACAGTGTTAAGAATAACCTTCATAATGAGTTTTCAAATATAATGAACTTATTTCTTGTAAGATGGAACTTTGTTATGATGAGGTTCGAGCGTAGCACTGGCTCCCGAAAACGCACTTGCTCGTGATGTAGGCAGGGTCGGATGTGGGTCCCAGGGGCGAGTTTGCCGGCAGGTTTAGGAAAATGGTGAAGAAGGCAGTGATGTGCACGAGGTAGCCCAGGAGAATGATGGGGTCCCTGCCAGCCTTGTTTGTCTGCTTGCCCAATATGCTGAAGAGAAGCCCACCTGGGTGCAATAAATAAACAAACAGAACTAGTTGCAAATGTCAGGTAAAGAAAAACGTTTGGGCTTGCGAGAGAAAACTAGAACTTGAAACTTTGGCTAGCTAATGTGATGGTCACGATATAGTAAATAAGATGGTGCTCTGATGCTAGTGCTTTGAAAGAGTAGCGGACACTTTAATGTAATCTGACAACGAGTTTCAGTACATCATACGCTTTGCCGGTAAAAGCACTGTGTACATAAGAGAGCCACACTGCATCTACAGCACGTGCGAAGAACACTTGCTCATCCACACTGCCCGAAATGCAGCATATGCAATGCCGTTATGAATGAAACATATGGGTTACTAAAGCTTGCAAATGTTTCAGTCTAGCAGTCATCAGCATTTTTTAAATTGGGGTCTTTACATGGTGGTCATCTGGTGATCACTGCCAGAGACATAAATTTATAAAAGTAAGTTCCTACTGCGTACCCTAAAATATATTTCTCATTGCGCGTATGTAGTCAGCATGCCTGCGATTGCCCATCTGTGATACTGCTATTTTTCAGAATTCATGAGTAGACATGCCTGAATCAACGCTCCGGCTCTTCCTCCCTTAATCCTTAGAGCTTCCTAATCCTTCTTCAATCACTCCCTTAATTTTTACAGCTTGACAAAGAAGCTCCACAACACTCATTTGAAACAAGCAAGGCAGTTGACAATACGCTGTATTTCTTACATAACTAATGAGCTCTTCCCCAAAATAAACCCCTTGCAGTCTTACCAGTGATTTCACCAGCACCAATGAGAAGACCATTGATGCCGAGAAACTTGGAAGAGTCCTTGCCAAAACTTTTCGTGAAGCCGAGGCACGACCCGTAGACACCACTGAAGAACGACAGCTCCAATCCTGCGGAACATTTCTTTCTAGTCTTTCAACAGCAGCCAAGGACAACAGCGAGGAGAGAAGCGAATAGGCGACAAATAAAATTTCCTCACAAGTACTGTATATGAGCCATGCACAATGCACAGTATATCACTGTTTTTTTGTTGTTGTTGTTGCAGCCACTATTATGCTTGCATGTTTTCGGGGTGGCGAGGACACACTCAAGTTGCTTAACTAACCTTCATTCTTTGGTCTCTAGTGACATTGTTTATACTGTTGCAAATAAAATCAATGCAATTCAATTCAATAAACATGAATACAGTTCAGTGATCTTGCCATACAGACTCACTTATGCAAGTCTTACTTTAAAATTAACTGCAGTTGTTGCGACAATTATATTTCATTACGTCCAATGCAGGACGAAGACTCTTTCAAGAGATGTGGGACTGTATGTGTCTAAACAAAGGGGTAAGTACAGAATCAATAGAAGTGTTGTATGTGTGATTTATTTTTTTTTCACATCAGCTGTTCTTCTGTTGTTAAAAGTTTCCATACCAAACATGAATTTCTTTGTCTTTTTTCGTGTTTTTTTCACTATTGTGATTTGTTGTATTTTTTTCAGTGCTGTTATTACAACTTTTGCCAGTTTCATATTGTGCCCACCCCCTCTGTAACACCCTCTGGGTCTTGAGGGTATACTAATAAATAAATAAATAAATAAATAAATAAATAAATAAATAAATAAATAAATAAATAAATAAATAAATAAATAAATAAATAAATAAATAAACAAACAAACAAAAGAAGACTCATCTGAGCCAAGCCTCTTGCTTTAACTTTAACTATAAACCAGCTCAGTTGTTTGTTATAGAGGAACTCTAAAGTAAAAAACTGAATTTTTGTCGACTCAGAAAATGTCCTTCGATAACTATAGTATTGCCACTTATGTTGTGGTAATGACTATTGGTTTGTTACTGAACAAATCTTCACCAATCTTAAATACAAATCTTTAGTTTACTTAAGGATTAGAAAACTACCCTACACTGCAATGCTGTGTTTCTTTAAACAAACCTAAAAAATGATGTAACATATTTATCAGCACGACTGCTACATGTATACTGAGTAAATATTTCCTTGTGGCCTTGTCATTTAAAAATTTAAGAAAGATGAGTACAGTCAAACCTCATTAGAAGAAGCTGCAAGCATTGTGAAAATGGATGAATACAGTACATATGAAAACTCGTTATAAATATATACACTCAAACCTCTTTATAATAAAGCTTCCTCTTACACGAAAATAAGTTCGTAATATCCAAAATCGCTTATAAAGACATATTCCTAACATTATGTCTATTCCAAGATTATTCTTCATTTACTTCGTTATAACCAATATTTCGTTATATCCACATTTGTTTTATCAAAGTTTGAGTGTTTTTGTTAAGTGCAGCTTATGACAAGGCTAATCTTCACTTACTTCATTATAACATGCAATTTATTGTTTTTATATTCAATTTAATGAGGCTTCATTATATGTAACAATGGGCAGTGGTACCACAGGATTGACACAGTATGTTCAAGGACGGCAAAACGTTCACAGATTTACACGTGTGCTTGCTAGAGAGAATCTCTCAAGCAGCTCCAAGAGAGATGAGGAGAGACTCACCTGTGTAGAAAAATGCAACGCTGAGTGTCAGCATCTTGCCCGTCCTCATCAGCTTCACCGACTGTACTGCAGTGAGACGTGGACCAGTTAACAAAAATAAGGACAAAAATGGTAGCGTAATTTAGACAATGTCACATGCAATTGTGCTTAAACTATTAGAAATATCCTATGATGCCTTAAACCTTGTCCAATCATTAAAACCTGGCACATTAGTGCTCAGCCATCCTTCTTTTATTATGTGCATTACACTGTTACAAACACCAAGACATATAAGCAAGCACAAAGTATGAACAATTAAAGTCATTTCGTTACAGATAGACATAACAGTTGCAACATTAATAACTGACACATATATTGATAAGAATTTACTAATTCACGTTACCTACAGCACCTTACGTCATTATACAGAGAAATAGATACAAAAAAAAATGTAGCAGTGAAATAAAAATGCACAAATAAAGCTTCTATTTAAGACATTGTCCTAATCTGCAAGTGCGCTTCAATGCTATGCAGTTTGCCCTACAGTGCTATGCAGTTCCCCCTACTCGGCTGTTGACCCCGCAAGTCGCGGGATCGAATCTTGGCTGCAGCGGCTGTATTTTGAATGGGTGGAGGTGGAAATGCTGTAGGCCCGTGTACTTAAATTTAGGTGCACGTTAATGAACCCCAGGTGGTCGAAACTTCCAGAGCCCTCCACTATGATGTCTCTATAGTCATATGAAGGTTTTGAGACGTTAAACTCTACATAGCAATCAATATATCATCAGTTTTCCCTACTAACGACAGCTATTCTCTAGCTAAAAACAATGCATTCGAGCGCAGTTTGCTTGATGCTAAAAATGTTGACTCGGTTGTCTTGACACAACACGCATAATATACAAGCCCCAGCACATGCAACTAGGACCTCGTTTCCACTTGAAGCACCACCGATGCAGCCGTTATTAGGGCAAATATGAATCGCAGGGAAGTGCACTTGCAGATTAAGAAAAATCTCCCATTGTGCAATGTTAGCTGTGTGTAGTCAGAAAATAAAATGCGATAGGTAAATGCACCAAATTAACATTTTCTCTAAGGCTTTTCAAACAAGTGAATGACCAGTAATAAATAAAACGGCACGTGGATTGTTAACTATATAGTAATCTTTACAGTAAATCGGGCACACATCACAAATGGATACGCACAACTGATGACAGACATTTCAAAGTCTAGAATATGAACGCGAACTTGACATAAGCTTGCAAGAATGTTCTCAATTGTTATTTACTTAGGGTCAGCCCAGTTAGTTGTTGCTCCTGAGTACCAGCAGGAGCAACATGCCAAGGATCCCAATGCCAGTCAAAGCACCGGAGACAGTTAACCGGCTTGGCCGGTCATTTATGATACTATATGAACTTTATTGAGACTTTCAGAACGCACTTAAACTCGTTGCGGGCCATATTCATGTCGCAGCAGAGCCAAGTTAGATGCCCGATCGTATCATGATTACTTCACGCTGTTGATTATAATAATGCAGAATCAACAAACACTTTTAAACAACCTTGATGCAGATGCTTTGGCAGCATCTATGAACCCCTGGATGTAATTGCTAAATCTTAGGTCAATAGTTGGCATTCGTATCTAGCACAATCCATCTGATACGTACCCATTGCATCTAGGAAGCCTGAATCTGCATTGAGCTGTGCGGCCTCAACCTGCGACGAGGGGCCACTTTTCTCTTCCCTGAAAGAAAACGGTGGAAAAAAAAAATAACAGCAAAGTGACCGTAAAGAAGAAAGGGGACAAGAGTGGGTTATCAGAAATTAGTCAACAGGATAGTACAGCCAGCTCACGTTTCGTTTCGGCTGTTCTGGCGCCGAGGAATTCCACCACCCCTGAGTACAAGAAGGAGCAACATGCCGAGGATGCCGATGCCAGTCAAAGCACCGTAGACGGTTAACCGGCTTTGCCGGTCAATTTGCTCTTGGCCTTGGAATTGGAAGTAGACGAATATATTGCCCCAGATGAGACTAGAACAGAGAAAAAATTATGGGGTGGGAGGGAGAGGAAAAATGATATTTTTTGCTTATCCCAAATTGTAATGCAATAGCCTGTGTATTGGCTGCTGGTAGCAGCCGATAATACACAGGCTGTTTATTACACAGGCTTGTGTCAATGCACATTGAATGTAATCAGTACAGTTGTGAGGTGAGAGGGTTCGAAATGATGCATACTTGGAAAACTAGGGCGAAAATGATGGAGACACATGACAAGAGGGGCACAAGAGGAGTGGAGCCTACCAAATAAAGTTTATTAAAACAAAACTGAACAAACACAAACAAACAACCTGCATGCTCAAGAATTTTTAGATCGCCCTGTGCCCTTCCCGTCGTGTCTATTGCCGTGTTCAAGCCGCCTATAAAAGTATAAATGTAATGATTCTTGCCTGACCTGCACTGCAGCATGGCCCAGAAAATGCCACTATTCCGGGACATGGTGGTGCTGTCGGAATTGATTGTCAGAAAGTTCCCCTGGCCTGTCCATATCACTGTGCAGAAAGCGCAACATTATTACATCATGCTAATTGATTTGATAACAGTTTAGAGACTTGCATCTCTATTCTTCCAGAATTCAATTAAGACCTTACATATACTCAATCAATCAAACAAGTTTATTTCATCTATTGCAGAAACAGACAGAGCAGCGGTAAATGCAAGCCGTCTTTCAACAGCTCTACTAGCCCACTGCCCCCATTACCAGAATTCATGCAGCATGTACACAAATACTTATTAGACACCGATCAATAAAATTACCAATGTTAATCATAAAAAAAAAACAAATACACCACTTTGACTACACACATAACACTAATACTGGTAAAGAAACAAGATCAAGGAATATAACTGCAGTGTACAAAATATTATTAAGCCTGGCATGTTTATAATTAAAAGCATAATTTGCTTAATGCACAAGAAAACGAGTTGAAATTAGTAGATTTATAATGGTTGACATATCATGGCAAGGTATAGCACAAGCGTTCCATTGACAAGTTTAAACGCACTGTTGGTACTGCCCATGTTTCACCTTCTCTTGTCTTACAACTATTTTTTTTTAACAAGCAGTCAGCCTACGCAAACATTGATTTTACTGGTATTTTGTTAAGCAATATTTTTGTGCATATCCCCATATTAAATATTTATTTAGCCAGGATAGCAACTGAAAAGACAGCGTGCACGGGAACGGTTGTGTTACCTTGTTCTACTCTCGAAGGCAACGCTCATGTGCCCACCAAGATTTTTTAAGTGATGCATGCATCTTAAAATCCCATAAATTCCCCTTAAATGAGTAAAACATTCAAATTAGGACTGAACTGAAGATGTGCTGACGAAAAAAAAGAAATTTCTAGCCGGAAATCTTTTTAGACTCTTTTGAAAGCATCAGAGCTCTGTAGCATTCTCCAAGGCTTCTAAAACAAATGAATTCGTTTTGTTTGGCAACATTCTTTCTGTTTGCATGACTACTTAAACTTCAAGAAACGCTATATCGTACGAAAAAAACCTCGCTCCGCCTTCTGGCGTGTAGCAGCAGCCAAAATGCCAAAGCGTACTCACTAGCAGCTCCCACGCCAATGGCTACGGAAGCAGCATATAAACCCCATGTTACAGGAAACAGGAACTGCAGTACAAATATGCTGTAAATAATAAATGGGAGTCACAACACAATAAATACCAAAAAACTAGACATCACTGATTATAAAAACTAACCTAGAAAGTCTGTCATTGCAGCATGCTTCTTCTGTTTTATGAGAAACGTTATTGCGTGAATGACAATACACGGCAGATGAAAGTAAGAACATTAGGCGAGGTGGAATGAAACCAGAAGAACAACAAAGAAACAATTAAGGAGAGTGAAGCATAAGCAAGGACAAATTAGCAAGCGTCAAGCAATATCCAGCATGCATTGGCTAAAATTAAAATCATCAAAAAAACGAAGTTCAAGAAAATTGGTCACTGTTTTTGGCCGTATAGAAATCTTGCAGTTAATATAGAACTTTGGCATACGGAGGTCTTACGATACGAGCTCCGTATGGCCGAAAACACTCACTTACTTCCTTGAAGCTAGTCTCGCAGTCTACTGCATCAGTGAACAATTCTCAAGGTCGACATCAAGTATTGTAATGGAGCACTTTTCAGGCATTTAAGTACGAACTCCGAGCATCTCAGTGCAAAAAAGTCAGCGTTAAATTTTTTTTTTAGAGTTAACGATAAAAATGTACCGAAGTAATGCGTACTTATATGTAATGGCACCAAAGAGCATTGTGTACTTGGGGCCGAGAAAGGTGATCACCGATGGTGCCAACCAGTTGGAGATGGCGAAAACAGCATAAATAACAGCCAAGCTGCAATATGAAAGGACCAAAAAACAACAATACATCAAGTAAACAGCAATAATTTTTCAGAACAATTTGTGTCTGCTAGTCTGTCAAACGATTCTGTAGTAGTCTATAGCCTTGTCTTGCCATTTTGTCTATCTAATGTATTTGTTAAAGGTCCTCTGAAACATTACAGAGGTTTGGCTATAATGACAAATACCCCTGTGAGACGAGCACAAAAATACAAGATTAAAAGATTTTCATTTTATACAATCGCTAATGATGTGAGAATGCAACATTACTTGTGAGCTATACCTTGGACAATGATAAAAATTTTGGAAATTTTTGTAAATGCATGCCCAAGGTGTACACAAATGTATGTATCTAAGAAATCTGCAATCATGTGAGAGTAAACACTGTTAAGAGATAACAGAAATGAATATGCCATTTATGTGTGGAACAGCTGTGTATTTCTTTCTTTAACATACATGGAAATGTTTGCGAAAAGGGTTTAATATGTAGTGTCTACAGAAGAAGAGAGGGTAAAAAAATGATTAGTGTGCCGCACCTGACGTAGCCATCGCCAGTGTAGCTGGGGTCTTCATTGTGAATACTGTCTAAAACTACTTTCTGAAAAGAGAGGAAAAAGTAAGTTCTATCCAGCAGGATGCATTTTCTAGCAGGGGGTGACATACATATGCACATTCTACTACAGAAAGCACTCAAGTTCCTTTTTTTTTCAAATCAATATACTCGAACCTCAATATAACGAACGCGGATATAACAAAATATCTGTTATAACGAAGTAAATTAAAAGCAGTCTTAAAATAGATATAGTGTTAGGCATATACCTTCATAACAAATTTTGGCTATAACAAACTTATTCCCGTAAGATTCAACTTTGTTATAATGAGGTTTGGGTGTATCTCATTGTAAGTATTCTTTTTTCAAATAATCACTACAATAAATTTAAAAAATATTTTTTCATATTAGGAAGTTGCGCTTTTGCAAACAACACCAAAATCGCAACTTTCGCTGCAGGTGGCGCATCAGCATCAATGTTACCACAATAACTCAGTGAGTGATCATACATTTCAACACCACCTACTAAGGCCTAGATGGTATCTCATGGCTTAGGAGGCCAAAGACTTCACGTAACATGTTACAGAAAATTTTGCAGGGCCAATGTGGCATAACTACCCAAAAAAAGAAACACTTGACACTTATGATGTCATGCAGTAATTAATGCAGAGAAGTGTGAAATTAAAAAAAAAACGTGACCTTAATTTTCCCCCAAATAATAAACCTGTGAATCTTAAATTGACATTACAAATAAAAAACGGTTTATCAGCTTAAACTAATTTACTGTTTGCTTCTTAGCATCCATTTAAAGCAGTGAAAGTGATCTGTTCCATAATCTATAGTCAACTACTTCCATCAATTGTGTTCTATTTCTAATAATTATGGCTTAATTACTTTGAGAAAAAGAAAGGGTGGGCATGAAGAATAGCGTATTCAAATCATACTTTCTAGGGGTGACACTTTACAGCACAATGCACACGACTGTACCGAAGTGATGCATCTCACAAGGTACTGCTGCAGCTTGGAAGGGCATTCAAAACACACCTAGGGCCGTACTCGTGAATTTTTTTCAGGGGGTGTTTGTATGTAGAACGATTTAACGTCTGCAACTGGTGGTTGATGTGAAGGTGTGAAAATACTTAAGTATCACTCGAAAAGTTCGAGCACCAAAACATTTCGGGGAATATCAGAGCCCCCACAACTCTCTCCTAGTTAAGGACCGGCTGCCCCGCACCCCTGAAATTTGTCAATTTTGCATACCCCTCGGGTGCGAATTGTGAAGAACTATTTGAAAATTCCTCATATTCGCACAATATACAATTGAAAAGACATTAAAACACAATAAAGAAAATGAGGCAATACATCATTATCCACAGATTTCAGTGAGTGTTGTTAATTAGCGTAAAATTAAATATCTAATTATTCTGCAGTCATCCAGCTACAGCTCTTAATAAAGTTAATCAAACATCACACTCAATATGCATTCCAAGTTTGTTTTCTGGCTGTATTCGCTTCGAGCAAAGAAAAAGAACAAAAGAACGTTATGCCGGGAATGCAGCATCGACGAATGATCGTCGAACATGTGGTAGTATCTCCAGCTGTGCGATCCTTCGCAGCAATACGCAGCCCGATGAAGTTAAACGACCGCTAGTTGTCCACTCAGTGAGCCTGTCCAAATGTGCACACTCCCTTTCAAGCATTTTCAATAAACACACAGTGCATGACGTGCACCTGCATACTGATGCGCACACACCACCGCGCTGACAGGGATATATGCTAAATTGAAAAAAAAAAAAGCACAAGTACAAACGCACGCACAAGCATACATAGAGAACAAGAGAAAGCAATGAAAAACAATTTTTACAAATAAAAGCCAAGATAAGCTATAGTTAATCCCCCAAAAATTTTGCCTACGCCCCTGCTACAAGGAACGTCTATTTTTCAATAAACAATTGTATCGGGCCAGTTGGTATGAATCCATCTTGGTAGGAAGCGCAGCAACTATTACACAGAACACACAACACAAGCGCTCAACTTAGCTTTTTGTTAGTCTGCCTTTTATTATTTTTTTTCTCTTTCACTCCCTTTATAAACTCTGATGTTTGCAATAAATGTTTAGTTGAAGTTAAGCGCTTGTGTTGTGTTGTGTGTTCTGTGTAATAGCTGCTGCGCTTCCTGCGAAGATGGCCTATTTCTTGTTCCTTGTAATAATCGTCCAACGCATCAGATCATCCCAGCGCTTGTGTAAACCGTTGCGACAGCGCCGACTATTGAGAGAGTCCACCCCGGCGGATCAGTGGCTAAGGTGCTCGGCTGCTGACTCGGAGGTCGCGGGTTCGATTCCGGCCGTCGCGTTTCGATGGAGCCGAAACGGTCAAAGCCAAGGAGGATTAAAGAAAAAAGTGCTGGAGTGGAAGCGCCCGCAATGCCTTGCCAGCAGAAGTGAAGCCACCTTTTGCCCCTGCCAAGATGGCGGAAACATGCTCTTTTCTGATAGTGCCCACTTGAAGATCAAGTGGTTTTGATACGTTATGTAAATTCTACGTTAGTTCCATATTAAAAGAAAGTTGTTCCCGACGAAACAACACACAGAAACGAGTATGGGCGACTGAATCTTCAAAGAACTTTGCCTCCGATTAGAGGCTCACAAAGGAAAAGTAGTAACCGTAAGACGCACTTGGAGCGCTATGTGACCCGACCAAAGTTCACACATTAAACTCGTTGGACGTGCGAGGGAAACGCTTCGTTTTCAATCGCTGAACGGCGATACTTTATCATGCCCCTAGTAAGATGGCCGCCACAGCCGCCATCTTGCCAGAGGAACGGCTTCACTCCTGCGCAATCATTTCCACTCCAGCAACTTTTTTTAATCCTCCTTGGTCAAAGCCCGTATACTGTGCAATGTCAATGAACGTAAAAAAAAAAAAAAGAAAACAAGATGGTCGAAATTCCCGGGGTGCTCCGATACGGCGTCTCTCATAACCATATGTCGTGGTTTTGGGACCCAAAACCCCGAATATTACGAGCGAGCGGGAACGAACAACTTGAAAGAAAGAAGGGGGCAGAGAAAACGAGCCGGGCACTAATTGTGGGCACATGCGTCACGCGTGCATATACGGCGTTTCGACGACAGCTGACTCACGAGAACGTGGCCTTCAGTGCGTCGACAACCGCGTGCCTCTGAGTCCCCCCCCCCCACCCTCCCCTCCTCGCGCACACACGCGCGCACACTCCAACTGCTGCGCGGTCACAAATCTGCCTACCCGTGTCGCGGTGATCGTGAAATGAAGTACTACTGTAGAACCTCATCGAAAAAAACAAACAAACAAAAAAAAAACAGGCGGCGATGTTGTGTAACGTGCGAAGCGCTACATTGTCACGACGTCAAAACAGAGGTCTTGCCGCATGGATTGAGACACCAGAAGCAGGTCGGACTTTGTTTGTATCCTCTAATCCATGGCTCGTACCCACTCTGGGTGATTGGCCAAGAGAACATATAGTGTCATATGGACGGTAACTGCATTATAGCTTGCAACGAAAAAAAAAACGGGGGGGGGGGGGGAGTTGTATAGTGAATTGTTAAAAAAAGAGAAAGAAACCAAAGATTTAGATTGTGAGAAAAAAGAATCAACAACAAAGTAGACACTAATAGCTACAACTTGATTTTTGGAGCCGACCAGACAGCTGGTTTTGCCAAACGCGATCAATTTGGTATGTCACGGATTTATCCAGAATTGAAAATTACTTTTTTATAGAACACGCAAGCGAGTTCTTCTTTTTCGTCCATTCCATAGTCCTTCGTGGCACATGCACAACTACCATCGTCTTTCTTGAGCAAGCACGTGACAATATATTCCCCGGCTGATTTCAACATGAACTCCCATGCAGGAACGTATCCATATTTTTTTTTTCGGGGACAGGGGAGGGGGGGGAAGGGCTAACCGTGCATATTTTGGGGAGGGTATCACGCGTGTTAACAAAAGCCCAGAGAGGCTAATGGCGGCACCCAAAGAGCCTTCGTTGACAAGCAGTGGCGTAACTAGATAGGACGGCGCCCAGGGCAAATATATTTCCGCGCCCCTCATTATGCCCGTGATAATGTTTGTTATTATTATTATTATTATTATTATTATTATATAATAATAATAATAATAATAATATTAATTATAATAATAATAATAATAATATTAATAATATTAATAATAATAATAATAATAATATTAAATAATATTATTATTATTATTATATTATTATTATTATTAGCGCTAATGTAGGCTTCCGCGATTGCCTACTGGCGCGCGGCGGGCCATTTCGGAGGCCAAGGGCCACCAGTTCTGATTTCGATGAGCTACGCCCGCGTTTTTGTATAGTATTTTTCTTTTTTTATTCAAACTTCCGGAAGTCCCTTACCCGTCATTGTTCTCTTCCAGTCCACACTGCAAAAATCTTGACGGCACGGGCGCTTCCCAGGCCCAAGTTTCTCGTACCTAAGCTTTCGCGCTATTTGTGCATCCCAAGGAATGCAGGGTGAGTACAAAACAAAGCAACCAGCTAGACACCGCGCCCTCGGGTCTGGTATGGGGGTTAAACTGGTCGGAGTGTTCTGCCGTTTCGCTCCGTTCGCTGTTCCATTGATGGAGGTCATCCTTGTGCGGCCGCATTCTTTCAGGGAAGTTCTTGGTTTCTCCAACGTACGAAGCGGGGCAGTCGGCACATGCTGTCGGGTACACTACGCTCTGCGCTTTTTTCGCAGGTGCGTGTTCTTTGGGCCAAAGGATGAACCTGCCCATGGCGGTGGATGGCATGTGGGAAACGTTGACCCCCGCCCTTCTATTGCTTTGCTGGCGCCCGCGATGCAGGGAATCAACAAACGTCGCCGTCGTGTCACGCTTTCTCCGTCTTTCCTCCAGAGAACTCTGCGAATAAACGCCTTTGTTTAGCCTTTGGTGCCGAGGTCACGGATTATATTCGCCCTTCCTTCCGCCGCTGCGTGGACGATTAGTCGTTGGACGATCGGCTATTTCGTTGGAGTTTTCTGTTCTTACTCA